GACTTAAGCACCAGTCATGACAAGCACTATAATATTCAAATGCTTAGGCAGGCTAAATTCAGCCACCTGGCCACAGACAGCTTTCTTCAATGCTTTTTTCCCTATGATATGTGCAGCTCGCAGGAACTCCACTCTCTTAAACCAATTCAGGAGTTATGCACAACTGGTTTTTCCTTTCATTTAAAAAGGATATTTGAACATAGGTGAATAAATGTGGCCCTCTGTAGGAATATTTCTGAATTCAATTGAATTCAGTTTGTTCAATTTGTTTCAAAGAATATTTTTTCAAACACAGACATTACATTTTTAACAAGTGACTTAGAATGTACTCAAAATTAATGGTGACATAAATGTGCCATGATATTTTTGTTGTAAAATAATAATCTAAGAACAAAACTCCTGGCCCAGGAATTAGAAGGGTTAGATTCTTCTCTTATACAGGCAGTTAATTCCCTGTTTTAGTTTTCCTTGTCATAAAATGTGGCTATTGATGTCTGTGTCATTCCCATTCTGTAGGATATTGTTGGACTAAATGTAAAAGGCTGCCAAAAAAAAAATCTGGTTATTAATGACCTCTGTGTATGAATAAATCAATAAATTAAATTATTTTCATCATTATCATTTTAGTCTAATTCCAGAATCAGAGGGAGAATCAACTGTTCCAAGGAAGTACTGAAAATTTACTCAGTGTGAACAAATTGTATTGGTTTCTTTCTGTATACGTGAATACAATATTTAAAATTCACTAGCCACACAAAGGGTGGCTTGAGAAAGAAGAAAAATATAATAGCAAAGAATTGCAACATCAGATAGTTACCTATTTAAGTGTTTAACAATGCTAAATATCTAGAAAGTACATACTAAGCTAACTTGTTAACAAATATTCAAATTCTTAGTGTGTTTTAGTTAATTTGTAACTGGCCAACACATTTTTTCTCTTGTCAGGGTGATTTGCCTTTGTGTAGTCCTACTGAAGGAGTTAAAGATTGAAGAAGAATTGCTGTAAAAGTTCTCTGACATTCAGTTAAGTAACTGGAAATAATTGGGTGCTTGGCAGGTTCTGCTAATGAGGGTGAAATACCCCTGAGGTCTCATTAGCCACAGCTAAGAAACTTCACAGAACTTGCTTGCAAATAGGATATGCAGTTAACACTTTTACCCTCAAGAGAAAAGCATTATTCAAAAGTGC